AAACTTCTCCCACTTCACCTCCCTTTTGGTACAACACAAATGGTAGAGAAATTACTTCAAAATCCTATTAAACATGCTCATGGAACTCGAAAAAACGATGTTTTTGATGAGTCTTTTAGTACTCCTTTGTTCACAACAACTACTAATACTCCGAGTAATAACACTCCTTTTGAATCATGTAATATCTCTCCCGTTGAGTCTTGTCAAGTTAGCAGGGAACTCAATCCGGAAGAATACATGTTCGAGTATTCAGCTGATGCAAACAATGTATTTCCAGCAGACGATGAGAATACAAAAAGGTCATGGGCTAAGAAACTCAAGCAAATAAAGAATTCCACGTTTGGTTCTAAACTTAAGTCTTCGCGCTCTTATCTCAAGTCTTTCTTTTCCAAATCTGGTTGCTCGAACGAGTACTCTGCAGCTGCTTCAAGAAACATCGAAAAAGGGCCTTTTCCAATAGCTAAAGAAGGTAAGAAAGAACCATTTGGGCAAATTCATAGAGGTGGTGCGAATTCAAAAGGGGTCAAAAAAGAAAATGATCGCGATCAAGATATCAGAGGTCGACATAGAAGGTCATTCTCAGGAGCTATTAAAAGATTTTCGACAACTAAATCATCTTCGTCTTCATTTTCATCGTCTACTTCTGGCTCCTTGTCAGCTTCAAGCTCGAATAATTCGAATGAATTTCAAGAAATGCACTTCTTCAAGAGAAACAACAATTCATATTCAGATATAGAGAACTCAATTCAAGCAGCAATTGCTCATTGCAAAAACTCTCAGCATGCAAGAAAGACAATAACTGACGTTGGAGTTTGTTCATTGTCAGCTTCTAAAGTGATCACTGAAGAACAAGAAAGACCTGGACTCTGCAGGGGATAAATTTTTCCTTTTTTCAATCATAACCGTGGCTTACATGCACCTCGACTAATTGCACGAGATACCTGTCACCTTCCACCAGCAACAGGTATCAGGCAACTTTGTCTACCAAGGCTAGGACAAACGGGAAGAAATCACCTAGGGTTTTTTCTTGTAATCATTTCTTCTTTTACTGGAGGAATTGAAATGAAAATAACTTTTAAGTTATCTTATTATATGATTGCTTCTTTCTTTCACAATTTTGTGTAATAAGCCTCTATGTAGATTAGCAGTACTTGGCTTTCCAGAGCATAACTCTGTTAGAAAATTTGTGATAAATGCCAAATGAAGGTTTTTCTAGTACATTATTCCACCGAGTACGCGTTACTTGCTACTAGTACACGTATCGAATAACTCTATGTATCAAACCTTAGACAATCAAAAGAAATCACCTAGTCTTGTTTGTCTTTACTGAAATTTAAACCTTGAATGAACTACTTCATGCAAAGAGTCATTATCCCTTGGTGATCATTTACAAATGACAAATAGAGAGTTGCTTATCATTAATAAGGAATTATTCTACCATCAAAAACCTATGTTGCTCGAACTCTTCAAAAATGTCGTTGGATGTGCGTCAGATCATCCAAAAACTATCCATTTTGGAGGATCTGACACGAGTATGATAATATTTTTAGAAACCGAGCAACATAGACAAGAACTTCGGGGAGATGGATGGGATTTTGAAATTCCTCCAAATTTAACCAAAGTCCTTGGTTCGAGCCCGAGGAATGGAGGAACTCAGGTAAAAAAGGCTTCCCCTTTAGACTGGCCCTACATGGCGCTAATTCGAATTAGTCGGTCAAGTAAAGTTTGAATACCAAATGATTAAACAAAAATAATACTCTTCATGATGAACTAATAAAGAGATATTTTGAGCATAATGCAAAAAATGAATTTGTCTTTTGACTGCTACATATTAAAATTATTACAAAGCTTCAAGCCTAAGTTGAAGTAATAAATTTGCTAGTGCTATTAGTTTAATGTGTAAATTAATGAAGCTAATGATGATTTTATTTAGAATAAGAATCAATGAAGGCAGAAAAAAGATAGTGGTTTAATGGTCCTTAAAGTACATCAATAATTATTTATTTTATCATACATGATTCCCTTTATACTGGGTCACTTTGCTTAATTTGAGTCAAGTATTTTCTAACTTTATATTTTAAGGAGGTTAATTTCATATATGCTCACTAAATTTTTACATTATTGCCTTAACGTCGCTAAATAATTTTTGGTAACAAATCAAAAGTATTACTATTGAATTTTCTTTTCTATTAATATTGAATACTTATGCTCTTTATTTCTCGTGTATAATAACTTTTTGTTTAATATATATTACTATCTCTTATCATCACAGACTAATGATAGCAAATCTTTTTATTTATTGAGGGAAAATTCTGATTCATCATAAAATAAAATATTATAGTGAGGTCACTCTAATAAAAGAAAATACCAAAAATAATCATTAATTTTGATTGCAAAAACCCCACTTGTGTGGCACTCAAGAATAGCTGATGCATTAGATTATGTTATTATATTAACTCACTTTAAGGCTAAATAAATAAATGGTTCCAATAGCAATAAGTTTAAGGAGCACTCCTTTTATTTATACTTAGGAGGAGACTTATAGAATTGTTTATTGGTCAGTTTGGTACGATTTTTAAATATTTGGATTCAATATTTTTTTTTGTTTTTCATACATTCTACTCTTTTCTAATCCACTTGTGGAATTACTTTGTTTTTATTGTGATTTGTGGTTGTAATTTGGTTATTGTCTCTTTCAAGTCATTCCTCCGTATAATTTTATGGTGTAAGATTGTGGTTGTTCACTCTCATTTTAGTCGAGTGACTTTGTATCTATCCTTACCGAGAAAAACTAGTTTTAGCAGCATCTCCCATTCATATCAATTTGGGTTTTCCCCGCCATATTTATTTATAGTGAGGAAAACCCAAATCCCGGAACAACTTGGTACTATGTATGGGTGGAAACTAGGTGGATAATGAATCTACCTCTTTACCCTTCTCCGCTCAATATCAAGCTTTTGCCTGCATCGAAGATTCGAATCTGTGACATGCACCTAATTCACATACACACATCAGGCTTTTGTGAGACCAAATCCTTGAGAACAAGGAAGGCCAGATTTTTATAAACAACTTTTCTAACAATATTAGGGGAAAAAAATACATACTTTAATGTTCCTTTTAGAGGAAAAGAAAATCATCTTTTGAATTTCAAATGGGTATAAGAGCCCTTAAACCAAGTGAAGATGTTAGCCACATTTTTGACAAAAATTAGATTCAAAATAAACATTGTTGTAAAGATTCATTGATTATGTTGAGCACTTAGGAATACACTGATAAGCATATTACAACAAACACTTTCTCCCCACCAATTTCTCTCAGTGTTTAGAGAATCAAATACCAAAAAAGTTAACTAAAAGTTGTCTACTAAGCTCCTTTTTCTCCTTTTTTCTGTATGTTTTGTACAGTCAAAGTTATTAGATTTAGCATCACCACTAATTTCTAGTTTTCAAGACACTTGTAAAAGCAAAGTAAGATTTAAAGATATTTTTTATATCACCCTTTCATTTACCAGAGGATGACATATGGAACTTCCCGGCCCGCCATGTTGCTCAGACTCTTCAAAAAGGTCGAGGGTGTCAAATTCTCTAAAATTGGTGCATTTATGGAGACACTAGTGAGGCAACATTTTTGGAGTATTTAAGTATTAAAGCTTTCACCCCAAGTACAACAACAACAATGACATACCTAGTGAATTTCCACAAGTGGGGTTTGGGGAGGATTAGGCGAACCTTACCCCTACCTTGAAAGATAGAGAGGTTTAAGATAGAACCTCGGCTCAGAAAAAACATTTCAAAGCAGGTTGAAAAAAGAAATAGCGGGAGTAAAGAGTTTTCACCTAAGTAAGAACTTATAAAGCATAACTAATTCTGGAAAAAATCACCCACACCGAATACTTATACTAAACTACATAAAAATAATAATACTAAACTACATTAATTTACCAGAATTAAGCAATAAGTTGAAGTTAGACTATTTTAATTGACTATTGCTAGTCATAAAGGTGCATTTAGGGGACAGCATCAGCTAGTGTATACACCTCATGTGTGTGAGTGTTTTTTCAACTAACTCCGACCACAAATTAAAGAGGACGACGGTAGGTTGTCGTAACTGTAACAGATAAAATTGTTGTCATATGATCAGGAGGTCATGGGTTCAAGCTGTGAAAACAGTTTCTGACAGAAATCCAGGGCAAGGCTGCGTACAATAGACCCTTATGGGTTGGCCTTTCCCCAAACCCCACGTATAGCAGGAGTTTAGTGCACCGAGCTGCCTTTTTATGAGGAGTTCTCTGAATAATGTTGGAATGAACCTAAATCAGACAACGAATATATAGGATTATTATATAGCTGGCCTCCACTAGTTTGAGATTGAAGCAAAATCTATTTTCTTAATTGTGAACTCAAAAAATGGGATTGGTTTGTTTTATAATTGAACTCAATATTCAATATGGATACAACCACCTCTTCCAGCCATTAAGGTTTTTAAAGAAAAAAAAAATTGTAATGTCCGGGCCAACTCTCCCACTTGACTAATTCCTTGGGATACCTGTCACCTCCCAGCCGCACCAAGTACCAAGTAACTTAGTCCACCAAAGCAAATGGGGAGAAATCACCTAGTATTTTGTATCTCTGCTGGGATTTGAACCTGAGACTTCATGGTTCTCAACCCACTTCATTGACTACTAGGCCACATCTTTAGGTGCTCGTTAAGGTATTTTAGTGAAAAATCAAAACATTATTTTTGGTTCATGTCTCCGGGGAATATCAAAGCATTGCTATGATATTATTTCACTCATGTCGGTCCTCTATAGTTCATCAAGCATTAGTACAATTTATTGGTCTACACATTTATATTATTCCTTGTTTGTCCCAGAAGTAGGACCATTAGATGAATCAAAAGAACAATTACAACTACTACGACTCAGTCCAAAACAATTGAAAGAAGAACTACAAGCTCAAATCATGTGCATTGCAAGATGATGAGCATAAACTACAACAGTATAAAGATAAGGAATCAGACATGACTAGTCAAAATAAAACACCTTTTGGAAGAAGAAACTCCAAAAGCAATATGCATTCGGGTACAAATTTACATAGATGATTTAGTGAGTGGATTCACCGAGTTTGACTTGTAGCGTATTAAGCTTTAGAATCCTCGGGATACTGGTTGTAGTTGAGATGCAAGGGGTACATAAATAGTTTTGGTTCAACATTAATATGCAGTAGGGTAAGGTCTGCGTACATTCTACCCTCTCCAAACCCTACTTTATGGGATTATACTGGGTATGTTGTTGTTGTGCAGTAATATGCAGTCAACTAGCAGGCAGTTGAATCCCAATAAGTCACAAACCTTTGCAGCTCAGACAGGAAAGAATGCAAAGGTCATTCAAGAGGAGTGTGTTTCCCGATTTAAAAGTCATTCAAAGACCAGATGACATCATTTTATTTCAAGATTTTTCTCCACCTTCAAAATAAAATAATAACTATGAAGTTTTCTTTTTATGTGTGGCAAATAAAGGTGCAGAAAACAAAAACGTCAAAAAAAAGGAATAATACATAAATAGACACTTAAACTTGGCCTCAACGGGCAAGTAAGCACTTAATGCACATCTAGACACTTCAACTTGGTCTCAACTGACAACTAAACAATCCAATTCGTCCCCGCTGTGTCTCATGGACACCCGACGCTAACATGTTTTGGAGATGTCTAGATGATCACTAAATGTTCAATTGGTGAAGACAAGTTGACGTATCTAGATGTGCATGCTCAAAGTTGGCATACTTACTTTCTAGTTGATGTCAAGTTTGAGTGTCTGTTTATGTATTATCCCCAAAAAAAATAAAAAAATCATTCTAATAAGGAAAAGAAAGTACCAGAAAGTGATGCAGGAGGTGGAATAGGTGACTGCAGCCTGATTACGATCTGCCACCAGCCGGTAGAGTGTTAAGTGTACTGATATATTCTTGTGAAGTGGAGAAAAAGAAAACTGTACCTTTGTCTTCTCATTTCTTCCTATAAAGTCACACAATTTTTTCCCTCTGGTGAGCTCTTTTCCTGCCCATAAAAGTTGCACTGTGTTTTCTTCAAGGATTTGCAAGTCTGTAGAATCATATATTCATCCATGATTGCTGACTGTTTTGAGTTTCACTTAAAAAGGCTTGCAGGACAAATATCAAGTGGAAACCATAATAAAGAATTGCAATATTCACTTGTTCACTTGAGATGTTTAAATGGCTTCACTTTCATTTGCCCAGAGATCAAATAATCAAATGGTTCAGAAGCTTTAATGATTTTTTTCTTTTTGGAGAAAAAGGGTAAGTATCTAGAAGCTTGCATCAAACTGATTTTTTCATAGGAAAATAAACAAGCAACTGCATCTCTTTCTGAACATGTAGTTAAAAGCATATTTGCAGCCTCAAATGATTATGTCTCTATCCAGAGGTAAGAAGAACAATGGACTTACTTATCAACAATAACATGTAATCATGGAACTTGAAATAAAGTCACGGTGACTATAAACTCATAAAATCTCAAACATGACCGCTTGTCCTGAACTTTTATATATTGAACGTAAACATGTAAGACACATGAGGCTGAAATATGTGATTGTGAACATACCTGACAAGAACTGCTGTAAATCGGAACTTGATAATCCCATTACTGAATACGTTACCAAAAATTCCTTCTCAATGCTTCTTGTGTGATCTCTTAGTACATAAAGTGATAGAGGTTTGTTATGTATAACCTGATCCTGTAATCCATTTCAACGGACAGAAATAAAAGGAGCATATCATACATCATTTGAACCACCAAATGCAAGGATGCAAAAACATCTTTTGACTCAATTAAAATCTTCAAAACCTTTTACATGATTCCTATAATTTAGACAGTGTCAAACATAAAAATAGTTTAATATATGTGGCATTGTTAAAGATGATCAGTCATCTAGACATTCTGCTTCATGTCTTAGTCGTTCCTTAATCCTTCAATCTCTGCTTTGTATGTAAAGAAATAAATGACAGATTTGGTGTGAGGAATAAACACTTCTCACTGCAAAAACTCCCTTTGTTCCATAATATGATAGTGTGTGACTAGATACATAGTCAATGATGTTACTTTGACTTGTATATTACATTAGTGGTCATAGAAAAGATATAAAAATAATGGACGAAAACACCGTTTGAGAAAACACCACATCTAATTGTAATGAATAGTTCAATGACTTTGAAGTTTCAAAAATGGTGCACGCTTTATGAAAATATAACTAATCAAAGCCTTGGCAAATAGAATCACCCCTGCATATGCATGCTGACTGGTACTCAGTGGATTATCTGAGTGTAAGCTGACTGAACACCAGCACGTTATAACAACATTTATGTGGTGTCATACATTTTTGAACATACATATGAATAGTGCAGAGGGATAATAAATCTATAAGTTGCTCAAACTGAAAAAACATCATGATATTACTATCCTAATTACATAAATATCATTTCAGAGAAAATGATAACCCTAAACCCTAAAAGCAATACAGGAACAGACCTTTGAAGCGTATGACGTAGCTTCAGAGAGAGCTCTAACCAGAGGCATAACTGCATTGACAATTTAACAGTTAAGTGAAACTAATACTAACAATTTCAACTGATAATCATGATTAAATATGACATTATTAGCATCTTTGATTGTAAAAACCTTTGGGACAGACTTGAAGCTTAGAGAGATAAGGCTCGAATTTCGACCTTCAATTTCCTGATCGAAAGCTATAAATACTTCAACTAATCAATGATTATTTCGACAACACTAGCATTTTGATTGTAAATACTTTTAGGATCGACTTGAAGCTTAGAGAGAAGACTCAAATTTCAGCTGTTAATTTCCCGATCAAAAGCTATACACAACTTCAACTAATCAATGATTATTTTGACATTACTAGCATTTTGATTGTAAAAACCTCTAGGATAGCCTTGAAACTTAGAGAGATAAAGCTCGAATTTCAACCTTTAGTTTTTCGATTGCAAGCTATAACTACCTCAACTAATCAATGATTATTTCAAAACTACTAGCATTATGATTGTAAATACCTTTAGGATCGCCTTGAAGCTTATAGAGATAAACCTCAAATTTCAACCATTGATTTCCCAATCGAAAGCTATAACTACTCCAACAAATCAATGGTTATTTCGACATTGCTAGCATTTTGATTGTAAAAACCTCTAAGATTGCCTCGAAGCTTAGAGATAAAGCTCGAATTTCAAATATTAATTTTCCGAAGCAAAAGTTATAAACAACTTCAACTAATAAATCATTGTTTCGACATCACTAGAAATTTTGATTGTACCTTTAGGATCGCCTTGAAGCTTAGAGAGGTAGAGCTCAAATTTCAACCCTCAAATTCCCAATCGAAAGCTATAACTACTCCAACTAATCAATGATTATTTCGACATCACAAGCATTTTGATTGTAAAAACCTCTAGGATTGCCTCGAAGCTAAGAGATAAACCTCGAATTTCAACAGTTAATTTTCCGAAGCAAAAGCAATAAACAACTTCGACTAATAAATCATTATTTCGACATTACTAGAAATTTTGATTGTAAATACCTTTAGGATCGCCTTGAAGCTTAGAGAGATGAGACTCCAATTCGACGGCGAAGCATTGAATCTTCGATTGAAAATTCGCAATTTCGATAATTTCTTTGGCGATTTCATCAATTGTTGAAGTTGTTTCAGTGTCGTAGAGAAACTCTCCGGCTCCGTCGCTACCGCCGTCGCCGTGCTTCACATGTACGCGTACCATCCTCGAAGCCTTAGCAAGTGAACTCTTATGCTCAATTTTTCCTTTTGAACTTGCTTTACATTTGGAAAATTTTGGGAACTTCATCTATTTCTGTATTTATACTACCCAACTTTTTCAAAATTCAAAATGTTTGACATTTCTTTTTGTATCAAAATTTTCAATAATTTTAATTGGTAACAATATAACTAGGGTTGTTCATGGTTATGGTTATAAAATCAAACCAAATTGCTATTTGAATTAAACAAATTAAAAAAAATTGATATTTGGTTTGTTTGGTTAGGTTTGATTTTAAATTTTGAAAATTCGATATTATTTGGTTTGGTTTAACTAAAAATTAACCGCAAAAATAACCAAATCAAACCGAGAAGTTATATATATAAATTTTATAATTATTTATAAATAAAATATAAGTATTTTGATAAATTTTAATTAACTTAAGTCTTTAATTTTACTATTTTCTGAAGCCCAACATTTAAATTTTACCCCAACCATTAAAGATCACATTTTCTCTGTTCTTTATAAAAATTTCTAACACAACATTGAATAATTTAAAGCTCAAGCCAAAGAAGATGGTAATTGATTACTTTTGACTATGAAATATTGGTTTTTTTTTAGAAGTAATTTCTCAATATGTTAAGGTGTAATTTTATTGAAAAGTCTTATTGATAATATGTTGAGATCTCCAGAATATTGAACCAACTTTATGCTATTGACAATGAATTTTTTTAGTTTATGAAACTTGGTACATTGGATGAATCACTTTGTTCGTGTAATAGCTTATTTGTGAATTATTCATGTACTAAGTGTTTGTGTCTATCGAGATGCGTATGTCCTCAACAAACTTATTACTTTCGAACCGAAAAATCTAGCCAAACAGACGGTTATTTTTTTTATTTGATTTGGTTTTAGAAATTTAAAAACCGATTTAAATTGGTTTGGTTTTGATTTTAACTAATAATTGATCCAAATCGAACTATGAACACCCCTAAATATAACCAAACACCGACTTATTTGGGACCGAGACATAGTTACTGAAACTTTGATAAGTATTAATTCCTTTATCTCAATTTATATGACATAATTTGAATTTAGAGCAATAAATTTCTTTAATTTGACTTTGCATTCGGATATACTTGTTTTGTCAATTTTTTACTTGTGCGACTCCTTAGACCAAATTTTGGACTATATGAGTGGCTTGTTATGCCTTTTGGCCTAACCAATGCCCCTAGCACTTTCATGAGGTTAATGAATCACGTGTTGAACCCTTTCATCAACAAGTTTGTAATCATTTATTTCAAAATATTCTTGTGTATAGCATATTTGATCTTAGTGACCAAATAAGAGAAGTTTTTACCACTTTCTGTTCTCATGAAAAAAAACTCTCCGTTAAATTCGATGCAATCCCACAAATAGCGTCTTGTAAAGGATAGAATGTAGGCAGGCTTTACCCCACCTTTATGAGATAAAGAGGTTGTTTCTGATAAACTTTTGGCTCAAAATTTCGGATGTGTTTAGCATACATGTAGTTTACATAGGATTTATCCATTAAGGTTGTCACATCACTACACAAAGTGGTAGATACCATAGAAACTAATAACTTTCTGAGTCTTTTTTAGATACTAGTTTTGATTACATGCGTTGCACGTATATTCCTATTAGTTGATATCAAAATCTTCTATACAATTTCAACTGATATGTTAGATGATAAAAATAGATATTAAAGTATATCAAAAAATACAAATTTCTAAAGATAATGAATCTTATATTTTAATCTCCTTACACTTGCGTCCAAAATGGATTTAATATTTGCAAAGTTGAAATATAAATTAAGTTAGTTTTGATACTATTTATAATAGTTACTTTATATTAAACATGCATACATGTTACTCTATGATGTAAAAGAATACAATATTTCTTTAAAATGTATTTTTTTATATAAGATTTGAGATATATTTGTCTACCTATAATAATTTACACGTAAATGCCTCCTTGTCCACTGAAAAAGATAATGCAAACCAATTTAATTAGTATTATATGTGGTATTAAGTGGTTATTTGGCCTTTTGTCTTAGAGATTTTGCTAATTGGAATTTACTTCAACATTTATGGTGTGAGGATTTTATTAAATCATTAAGGCAGTAAATATTTATAAAAATGGTGGAAAAAAATGCAAAAATATGATATTATGATTGATTGTAATGTAACTTTTCATTTAGGGTCTTTCCACTTGTAATATGACATATGATTTATTATTTAATGATTAATTAAATGATTTATAATATTATAATTTAGTGTAGGAAAAATGGTAATTCAATTTTGCGTTTTAAAGCTTCCTACTTTTTATAATTCTAGTTCTAGACACATGCGTTGCATGCGTATTCCATACTAATTTATATAAAATCATTTAGAAATAAATGATAAATGTACTTTCTGATAGAACAAAGTTTTATAATTGATAGAAATTTCATTTTGACATATGAAAGTATCCTTGCAATGAAAATATAAAGATAAAACCAGTGACCTACATACTTGGTAACAATTCATATGTTCTTCACAAAAAAAAGAAGATAAAAATAAAAAATTAGAAATAATTGAGCTAGTCAAAATTCTTACTGGTATAACAATTTCTTGTTCTGCCATCCAAATCACTCCACCTTAAAATATGAATTACTACACGTTGAGTTTTGGATTAAAAACCCTTCACAAATCCATATATGTGAGTTTTTTTTCATGAGTTTACATTAATAGTAAACAATAAATATATCAAATCAGTTTAGTTGGACTAACTTTTCAGTTTCCCAAAAAATTGTTACACTTTCAAAAAATGTGCATGTGCAGAAGTATTTACGATAAATCATTTAATGAAGATAAATCAAATATTGTGAAAATAATAAGGAATGTGGAAGGTTGTGAAAAAACAATTAATAGGTGAGAAGAAGAAAAATTAAAATAATTAGCAGTAATAATTGAGGTAATTCATATTGTTATAAATGAAGGTGTTTAGAGGCAAAAAATATGTGTAAGTTACATTACATATGCTCATAAGAGGTGAAAAAATAAAATTGACCCATTAAAGAAGAAATTGTTCAACTTAACTCTATATGTCCTTAATTACTTGTTCACTTTTGAATTGACACCTATGATAATATTTGACATAGTAAGTTTACTATTTTACCCCTATTAATTATGAGGGATGAATTAAAAACTTAGAATTTTCAAAAAGTTTTATATTTTTCAATACAATTAATTAAGGGTGTAATAGGCAAAAATTTTTTTATCTTTTCTTGATTTGTCAAAATGGACAAGTAATTAGAGACAATTAAAAAAAGAAAAATGGACAAGTAATTAAGTACGAGGGAGTACTTAAAAGCACGGGCGAATAAATTAGTTTCACACATTTAGCGAGAATTGAATGTGGAGGATTAAAATATGATTGTTGAGTTTTTTGTTTACTCACTATTTATGTTATTTAAACATTACTCTTATTAAATTTGATTTTAATTCAATAAAGGGCTGTAAATTTTATATTGTGTTGAACTTGTATTTCAACCTTCAAGTAATTAAAATATGATTGTATAATATTTAATTAAATGGCTTATGATATTTTGATTTTTTTAAATGGTGAACTTGTAATTCGACGTTGATGATAAAAGTTAATACAATATGATATGATTAAATATAAAATAACTAATTAAGTCTTTAAAAAGGGTAAAAATGTCTAGCAACTTTATATGGACATTTTCATCTTTCATTTTTTGATTTTATACTTTCCCACTTTGAACATTTACTATATGATATGCTTTTTATTTAATATTCAAATTAATTAGATGTTTTATAATTTTTTATTGAGTGGAGAGGCAAAATGATAATCCAACTTTGAAGGTTGGAGCTTCCCACCTTTAATAATATATGAATATGAATGAATGAATACGAATAGGGAAAAAAGACAAATATACCCTCGAACTATCGTAAATGGTATGCAGATACCCTCTGTCATACTTTTGGGACATTCGTATCCCTGCCGTCCAAAAATTAAAACATATATACCCTTCACTCTAACAAAAGACTAAATAGGGACACGTGGCACAATCTTATCCGTCGATTCGATATTTAATAAATATCGAATCAGTGAATAAGATTATGACACGTGTATGTCTGTTAGTATAAAGGGTATATATGCTCCAGTTTTTTAACGGCAGGGGCACCAATGTCCCAAAAGTATGACGGAGAACATCTGCATACCATTTACGATAATTCGAGGGTATATTTGTCCTTTTTCCCATATGAATATGATATGATGATACATAATCTTTTCCCATTCTAGATCAATGGGAATATATAGATCCCAATGCCAAAAATTACAATCTACAGTACCATGAGTTTAGCTTAGAATTATACATGATCGCCATTGTTCTGGCTCGGGACAGAAGTCTTATTGGTTGACACGATGATACACGTAAAATGGAACCTCCCTTCCAAATATGAACAGATCAAACATCTTCATTTGAAACTTGCAGTTCCTCCAGATGCAGGGATAGGATGGAAGGATATGAGTTGGTGTTCATCGGTCTCTCCAGAATTCGTGTTTCACTACATATAACACTGGAACAACTCCATTTCCTCATCAAAGGGCGTAAATCCTGTCGATGTCAGAATTAGAGAACTCAGAGTGGTACCATGAGTTGGAACCACTTCTAGCATGTTTTTCCTTCTTCCTTATCGATCTTTTCTTCCTTGATCTTACCACATAGTAAGTCATGGTTCCAAGAACCCCCGCCATTATTATTCCCCCTACTGCAGTTACCAATATTGCAGCCCATTCATACTTGCGACCGACTACTATATAAGAGGATGCCATAAATGCCACTGAAGTGCAGACAGAAGCCAACCACATCAATTTGTTAATCACCTCGACAACTCTTCTTTCTGCCTTAGTTTCTCCTCTAACCAATGTAATCTGAACTACGACAACAGCAAGAGATGTAAAAAGAGCAAGGGCGTTGAAGATGAAGAAGATCTTAAAAGAAGCAGTGCTCACAACCACAGCCACTCCATGATTATCATCACCTCCAGGCACAGTAAAAATAGCAGCAAAGGCAACTGTGGCAAAGAGAACAGCAACAACAGTCACAGAATTCGTTGCATTATTAATCCCTTCTCGATGGAGCTTTCTAAGCTCTTTAGCAATTCCGTGGACATTTTTATTTGTCCTCTTAGTTTGTTCAAGCTGTGTGTGAATATCTTTCTTGATCTGACTGACAGTTTTCCTCAACTCATCCCTTGGTTGGTTCAATTCATTAGCTCTAACAGCTCCATATTTGTATAAACACTCCTTTATATCTGAGGATTCTTCAGAGAGTGGAAGATCTTCAGCTATGTCAAGAGCTGTTTTGTGATCTCTGTTCAGTGCATTAACATTACTATCAGGCAGGCGTAGCAACTCTCTTACTATCTGCACGGCAAAAGTTTTAAATTGATTATCAATCACAATATCATTATACATAAGAGGAGATGAAGGCCAAGTAAGTTCCAACAGTCAGATCTTAAAAGCAAGAAGGGGAGTGGTTCAGGTAGCACAAAAGAATGGATACCATGCAGTATTTCATTATCAAGATGAAACAATGTGGCCAAGGACCATGATTATTGTAACAATTGAACACATGGTGATCCAAATTTTGTATAATCTTAGAGACATGCACCAACAAACTTGACCATAATCCATTCAATAAACCAAATTTCACAATTAACATTTTTTATTAGGAAAGAGAAACATCAGATTTAAGAACAATTTTCTTCTCATCGATCACACGGAATAGTAAGTTTGTGTCATGCTTTGAAGCACACCATGCATTACAAACAGAGAACAGTAGAGGAATAGTGATGTCGTATTTGGTGTGAAGGATGGGGCGAAGAAGTATTACACAAAAGTTTCATGTTTGAGTAACAGATTATATACCTCAGCGCGTTTTTTCCGGGTAGCTATGTGTAATGCTGTGTTGCCAAACTTGTCTGGAAGCATAACTATAGCAGCATCAGCCTCGAGAAGCAATATCACCACGTCACAACTGATTCCCTTTACAGCCATATGCAATGCAGTTTGTCCTTTCTTATCCGTCCTCCTGGCCAATTGTGGATCTCTGTCAAGCAAAGCCTTTACAATTTCCACGTGCCCTTGTCTGGCAGCTAAATGTAATGCATTTTTACCATTGGACCTAGAAATTTCCAGTAAGGTGCAATCCTTTGACAGCAGTTCATTGACCACTGCAATATGTCCTCTTGAGGCAGCAGTTATAAGAGGGGTTGCATTTGAAGGGCCAAATGTTTTACTTAGTCCGGTATCATGCTCTAAAAGCAATTGGACGATTCCTGTCATAAGAACGCAAAAATAAGTCTTTGTCCAATAATTAGTATCTTCTGGTACCATGAAACTTATCCATCTTCAATATTTTACTGAACTGTAGAGTTTTTTCCTGAATGTTTACTGCATAATTCTCCACACGCATTTTTGGCAATTTCAAGGTTGCAGTAGGTCAATTCAAAAAGTTTGAACCTTCAATACCAACCAGCATCAGCCTGCTCAGACTGAAGGCATGACATTCTAAAACAAGATCTCTTCAAGGATAATACCCTCTTTTGACAAGTAAGGGATTGGGTAGGGGGGGTGTTCGGGTTCAAATCAGAATTTAGTTTAGACATAATACATAAACAGACACTTAAAGTTGGTCTCAACCGACAACTAAGCACTTAGCACTCTAACTTTGAGTATGCACACCTAGATACCTCAACTCGTCTCCAATGTGTCAGTAGTACACTCCAACTTACCAAATGATCATTTAGACACCTTCAATGTAAAGTAACACCAAGTTGAGGTGTCTAGATGTGCACTCTCAAAGTTGGAGCGCTTACTTTCCAGTCAAAGCCAAGTTTGAGAGTTTATTTATGTATTACGAAAGCTACGACCGGTTTTTAACATTGCAACTTCAAGGCATACTTTCCCTTTTCAATGTAAAGTAACACCAAGTTGAGGTGTCTAGATGTGCACTCTCAAAGTTGGAGCGCTTACTTTCCAGTCAAAGCCAAGTTTGAGTGTTTATTTATGTATTACGAAAGCTACGACCGGTTTTTAACATTGCAACTTCAAGGCATACTTTCCCTTTTCAATGTAAAGTAAAGCAAGTACATTGTCAAATCTTAATAAGATTATGGGGGAGACATAAAACTTGGTTAGCAATTTTTTCAATCTTCCAGCATCTTGTTAAACTCGATCCTTCATCTTTCCATATCAGAAAAGTTAACAAGCTGAGTTTAAGCTGAACTGTAAAGGGATAAATAAGTTGAATGATCAAGAAATCTAAGATCCTCACCATGGTGTCCTTGACTTGCAGCTATATGCAAAGGATCAAATCCTGACCGATTCTTCTTAGTAAGAGTATCCTTGTTGCAGTACTTTAATAATTCTTTCAACACCTCAATATATCCCTTCGCTGCTGCTGTAAAGAGTGCTGTCTCTCCTAATTCATTCACTTCATTCACTACAGATGCTCTGATCTCTGCGACCTCTTGATTAAAGTCATCGCCACTCAGCGTCCCAACCATTTGAGTATCAATGTCATTAAGTATCTGCTTCACTGCTGCTAAATCACCTTTCTGAGCTGCTAAATGAAGCTCGGTGTCATTGTGCCTTCCCGTAACCTGTTTTACATATTTCTTTTTCCCTGCTTGGTCCATTCTCTTGCCAGAATTGGAAAGCACCAGAGCTGGTGCTGTTGCGGAAGATGGAGATGGGGTTGGTGATGGCTCAGCTAGAGGGTTATGGCTTGGGGTTGGAGTAATCAGTCCTTTCTCGACATCTCTCTCACCTAGTACAAGCACAAACAGAACTAGTCAGCAAAAAAGAGTAGCTACTCAGTATTAGATAATCAAGAATCAGGTTGTAATACCACTTATAAAAAAACAACTCCATCATAAAGTCTTCAGAACTGAACACTATTGAAGCATAAAAAGAACTTGTAAAGTTTATTCTCATCCGTTGAACAAACTTAAATTTTCCTTAAAAAAAATTCAGATTGCCATCTAAGTGGCTGTTCTTAGAATTTTTTGATAACCGTGGTGTCCAGGACAACTTTCGCACACCACCACTAATTCCACGAGACACCTCCCACCACCAACATGTACCAGATAACTTTGGCCCAATTTGAAGGATTGATATAGATTTCCTCAACTAGTTTCAGATCGAGGTACAGTAATGCATATTGCCATCTAAATAATATGAAAAATCACACCATAGTAAATCGCTCAAGTTAAGGATTTTTTACTTATGCAAGGTACAACTCAGTTGAGTGTCTATCAGAAACAACGTCTCTACCCCACAGGTAGATGTAAGGTTTGTGTACATCCTACCTTCCCCCAGACTACGCTTGTGTGATTACACTGAGTATGTTGTTGTTGTTTGCAAGGTACTACTCAATGAATATAAATCTCTACTAAGAAATACCCATATGCTTAAAACTATATCTCCAGCTAATAAAGCAAAAATAAAAACTCAAATTCCCCCAAAGAACCATTTTTTCTACATATAAATCTCTCATTCAAAATACCCATATGCTAAAATCTATATCTCCAGCTAATAAAGCAAAAAAAAAAAAAAAAAAAAAAAAAAAAAAAAACTAAAAATCACCAAAGTATATACTGATAAATCCATGGATAATTTTTTCTTATTTATTTAAAAAGAACCATTTTTTCTCCATATTAATCTCCATTGTTCAATACCCAGATGATTAAAACTATATTTCCAGCTAATATAGCAGAAAACAACTGAAAACTTCGAAACTAGCTAATAAAAAGAACTACGAAATACCCATATATTTATAACTAAATCTTGAGCTAATAAAGCAAAAAAAAAAATCGAAAAATTAGCTACTGATAATTTGATGATCAATACAATTATGAATATATTTTTTTCAATTTTTATGCAAAATATAAATATGGGCTAGAGTTACCTTCTTCCACAGGAGAAGCCATAGAAGAAGAAAAAAATTAATTTCAGAGAGGAATTGAAGTAAACGGAGAGTCAAGAAAAATGAGAGTTTTATCAGATTTGAGAAATGAGAAAAGGGAAAGTGTAAAGGAAAGTGGAGGATGAAAAAGCATAAAACATATTTTTTTTAAAAAAGGAACTAGAAGACAGAATTTAGGAAAGTGATGAGAAATAACAAGTTGAAAATGATTTATTTTATTTATTTTATTTATTTTATTTATTTTATTTCTAATTATTTAAAAAAACTTTATGCAAAAGAATCAATAATTATTCTTTATTTATCTCAAAAATGTGAATGAATAAACTTAGATGATTTGAAAAGAGTAGATAAAAGATTTTTCATAGTTAAATCCTAAGGAGCATCATTCAATAATCTTATCCCTATTAAGTCTAGTATCTACTTTAGTTATGTAGTTGGTGAAGATCTCAAGTTCTCTCATAACGGATGATGGAGATCTCGGATTCTTTCGCAATGACTATCCCCTGAGCTTATTAGGGTCACAACTTAGTGTTTGATTCCATACTTTCAGAGTTAAGCGAACTTTATAAATATGACATTGATCTGATTATGATTGTCTTAACTTCATATCTTTCATCAATAGAATTATCATCACCAGACACTGAGGATAACATTTGATTATTATTCATGCTAAATCACATTTGACATATTCTTCTTATCATGTATCACTTTTTTAATTTGTCCGAATCTTTAAGTCTGAATTTTACTTCATACAAACACTTCACTCGATAGATTGAAGGTGATGAAGCACATGTCATTTGAAGGCATTACAAAAATAATTTCATCATAAAATTTTCATAAATATTTAATTGATTGTATTAGAAAAATAATATCTCTAAAATAAGAACACATAAATGAAAATAGCGTTTAGCTTGTGAACAAGCTATTTCGAAACTATTAACCAAAATTATAATACAAGAATTAAACAATGATAAGATTTTTTAATAGATATACTTTTATTTATAAAGGTTTAGTTGATTGGACAAAAAAATGAAATATAGAGATATATGTACTATGAACCACATATTTTCACTTAAAATAATAAATTTGGATAATTTTTTATTTTCAATGGAATAAACTTATCTCGCCGTTTACTTTACATTAATTAAACTACTTCCTTCATATGTAAAATAAATAATTTATATATAATTATCTTTTCTTTATCAATTATTATATAAACAATTTGTTAACTTTAATCTTCCTTAATTAATATGTGAAATTCTACAACTAAATCTTCCTTTTTTATATGGACAGAAATTAAAGCTTTTTAAAAAAAATAAAAAAAATTGAGCAACTAGAGAGAGTACAATAATAAAGCTGGTTCTATTGGTCAAAATAGACGGCCAGCAACCACTAATTCATTTTTCGTTTTAGTTTATCTAAAAAAAAAAAAATCTATATATATACTATTTATAAAATTAATTTAATGTCCAATTTTTAATTTTATCTCAATGAGATGATTTATAATTATATAAATATTTATTATTTAATATAAATCATAAGTTTCAAAAGTTTTTTTCTTGAACTTCATGGTGAACCAAAATGCATCATATAAATTGAGACAAATAATGAAGTATTATTCATAGACATAATACATAAATATATACTCAAGTTTGGCCTCGACCGACAAATAAACATTTTAATTTTGAGTGTGCACATCTAGACATTTTAATTTGTCTTCACTATATTAGAAGAATGTTAAACGCCTCCAACTTATTACAAAATGATCATATAGACACCTTCAAAATTTATGTGTCACATCAACATATTGGTTATCCACGAGACATTGTGGAAACGAGTTAGACTATTTAGTTATCAATTGAAGTGTCTAGACATGCACTCTCAAAATTGAAGTGTTTAGTTTCTTGAATATCTCCATTATCAATTTATCATACTTTATTGGGAAAAATAAGTAAATACCCCATAAAAGCAAAATAATTACAAACATATACCCCTTTACATTCATACTTCACTAAATAATTACAGTATATACCCCCTTACCAATTCCACTTAACTAAAACTAAATAAGTATCATATACTATATTGGTGTCATTAAGGCTGATAATTTCGCTTAATTGATACTAAATCAGTATCATACACTTGATTGGTATCATTAAGGCTGATAATTTCACTGAATTGATACTAAATCAGTATATGCTTTTTTATGCTCCCAAGCTCTTTTTCTTATATTATGCAACGATCTTTGCAAAAATTTCATTTTATGCTAATATAAGCAAGTATATATGCAACAGCATGATGCAAATAGCATGATTGTTCATATATTTTTAATTCCCTATAGGTACTAAGTATTTTTTCCTATGTCTAAGTAATGTATGCAATATAATGTATTGTAGAATTAATAATATGAAACAAAAGTTTGCATATATACCTTCCTCCTCTTTCTTCGATGAATAGTCCTTATCACTTCCGCAGAAGTTCTCCCTTCAGGCCATGAACAGTTTTTCGCCTAACAACCTCAGTTTTACGGCTACTTCCTCACTGTTCCTCCCTAAGGCTGAAGATCGCAACCTTCACTTTAAGACTACTTATGGAATTATAAGAAGAGAGGTATAAATACTAGATATATACATACATACTCTTATAGTATTATTGACTAATGAGTAATTTTTTAACAAGAAACCTTAATGATACCAATACAATACAATATATATATATATATATATATATATATATATATATATATATATATATATATATATATATATATATATATATATATATATATATATATATATATATATATATATATATATATATATATATATATATATATATATATATATTATCACTCTTAACGAGTGGAGCGTATGGACTGTAATTATTTATGAGAGAATGAATATTTCAAGAATTACTTTGGATTTGAGTATGAACTTGTAATTATTTTGGATTTTATGGCCAATTTATGTAGTTTCCCCTACTTTCTTTCCTTTTCTTTTTTAAAAAAGAAGTTAATATGTCCATTGGGCCGATTTTATAATGAAAAAAGAGGCCCAACAAAAATTTAGCCGACCCAATAGTGACTGGCCCAAATAAAACAAAAAGAAAACAACCTATGATAAATATATTTTTCTTGATTTATTTTTTAATAATTTGAGAAACATTCGTTAATATTTTTAAAAAGTTTGAGCAAACATAGCCAAAAATACTTTTGTTATGCATTCAACATTATTCCATTTTATTTTCATTATCTAGCATTCTGATTAATATTGTAAAATCCTTATAGGCAGCAACTAGAAGTGTTATCAAAGGCGAAAATCTTTCAATAACACTCCAAACCTAATTGGGCATTAAGCGCTAATCGAACTTAAAAGGTGGGCTTTAGTTTTAAAAATGTGCAACAAAGAAAAAAAAGTAAAAATATATTCTGTAATGCTAGAAAAAAAGTAACATATTCATTCATAATGTTTTAGTAAATATATCTCTTTGGCAATAAAATTTAATATAATTATTTAATACTGCTAGATTCAAGATAGAACTCATGGACAATTAGGCACACAATTTACTTATTTTTTAGGGAGGGAACTTTTTAGTATTGAAACCAACAACTTGTAATCTATGTTGCTCTGACCTTTTCAAAAATATTGTCACATCAGTATCAAATCCTTCAAAAATAAATTATTTTTTGAGAATCCCACAACATTTATTAATTTAATACTTCTCTATTCAAAATAGAACTCATGGGCAATCAAGCACACAATTTACTTAGAATTCTTCAAGACTTGAGATAACTTCGAGTATTAAAATCAACAACTTGTAATCTATGTTGCTCGGACCTCTTCAAAAACGTTGTCCCACATGTATGGTATCCCCCAAGAACACATTACTTTTTGAGGATCCAGTAACATTTTTAAAGAGTCCGAGCAACATACAGTACTTAGTACACATTATTTAAGAAATACATTGCCAAACACATGAATTTGGCAATGATGTTGATGATGACAATATTAAACTCCTTGACCTAACATTTTCATGAAATAAATCAGACAAACAATTCCCAATATTATCAGGTGAAAATCTTACCAACACCTCCAAATCTTTTTCCCCACTCAATACTACCATATAGTACTCATAAAAATCCCTATAAAAAGGCACCAATTTTCTTGCAATCGATACTTTGATCTCGTCTCGTAGAGTCCTATCAGGTACAACCCAAGATTTCTGTCTCTGATACGTTTCTTCAAACGATTCATTGAATCGTTTGAAGTGTTCCTTAATCATATCAGAGGAAATCGAGGGATCTAAACTCTGAGGCAAACACATAAACACCTTATTCCAAGCTACATTTTCGTATTTTGTTGAATACAACTTTACCTTTCTCTCCAAGTTCAATATCCATTCGTCTCCCAATATGATCCTGAGGGCACTTCCACGTACCCTCTCGATAATGAATTGGATATTGTTAGCTAAGAAGAGATAGGATAACGCGATGTTATTGTACAACTCTGCTTTGCAATCGAGTTTGCAAAGCAGGACGAGTACAATCCAAGCCAATTTAGCACAGACTGATGAATTTTTGGGCGTTTCACTTATCAATGCACTGTCGAAATAAGTTTCAGAAAATTCCGTTGTTGATGTAGAGTCAGAAATGATATATGAGAGGACTCCATTGTAGCTTGCTAACGAAGCTAAGTATTCCGCAACAGAGTTGGTTAACGGATGAATTCCCCCACCAGGAACTGGTGTTTTCAAGGAATTCCTCTGTATTGACAGCTCGAAATCAGAGATGATATTTAGAACAGAGATCTTAAGTTTATTTAATGACGAAACAGCTTGAACTTTGACAGATGAGATCGAATCAAACGAGAAGATTGATTCGATCTCTGGCAATAGTTCAGCTATTGTTTCGTGTAAATCCATTAAAAGAAAAATCTTTTCATGTGATTTCTTCGTCTTTGCAACGACCTCAGGAAATTTAAGCAAAACGATTCCTCCTTCTTTGGCTATATCACTAAAACATGTTTCATTGATCGTTTTCGAGGTTGAAAAAACATGATCACAAAGAAACCTCTCTCCATAGAAGAGTGTTTTCACCGCGATTTTAGTTGAATCAATCCAATGCTTGACTTGATGTTCGAGAACATTTGGTTTCATCGCGTTAACATAAGCTGAGCTACGCGATTCAATTCCAAGACGATAGAGTCCTTCATCGACGATAGATTTCCTGATGATCCTGTAGATCTTCCAACACTCTTTTGCATAGCCAGAGTCAATCATACAATCCGCGATCATTTTGAGATCAGACATTGTTAGAAGTGAAAGATGTTCAGCCTCGGAAATGGATTCAGCACTAGTAGTGTGCTGAATCTCATTTCCGAGGTCAGTTGATTCAGAAGAATCAACTGAAATCGACCTCGATATGTGTGAGGATTGACTAGACTTGGATACTGATTCAGGATCCAAATGCTCCTTTTTTGTTGACAAAATTTGGTAAAATTCATTTTCTAGTCTTTTCATAGCCTTTTGCATCAAGTTTTGTGCAAGTACAAGTTTGTTACAAGTTGAATGTTGTGTAACAAAAAAATGCATAGCTTTTTTCAAGTCTTTGACACATTGAATGTATTCTTTGGCTTCTTTTCTGTCTTCTTGAAAGAGTGAAGTGAATTTTTCGTTAGACGATTCTTTATGATCCCATTTTTTGATAATAGTGTCCGCGTTATCAATATTCTCTTCCATGATAGATCGAGAGAATGTCAACGAAGGTTTCTGAGGAGGTATATGACTAGAAAAGGAAGAGAGGGATGAAGTGGTTTTCACGAAAGAGAATAGGCTCTTCTTGGCTCTCTGTGGTGTCGATGGTGATGATGGTTCTCTCTTAGACATGTCAAGAATCGCCATTTTGTGGAAAAAAATATTTATTTATTTTTGTATCGAAACGAAAGAGTAATGATTCTTGATCTTGTAGTAAAGAAAGTTATTGTGAATATTTGGTGTAGGAATAATAGTTATGATAAGAGAGTTTAAATAGAAGAGGGAAAAATTGACTTGGTACACTAAATGGACTTGATTAAGACGTTAGATTTTTTTTTGAAACTTTGAGGTAAGAAAGAGCCAATACAGCTGGATTTGTTGACAATTGCATCTTCTAAGAGCATATTTTATCTTTTTCTGGTTTCCCACTTGGTGTTCGATATCTGTAATAAAGTCTGATTAATTTAGATTAGTGAATTGGAGGGCTCATTTTTGGAGGTGGCGCTCCAAACATGATTTTTTTTTTCATTTTCGGGACTGAACCTGAAATATCTGATTAAGGATAGAGGAATTACAATCATTTCATTATAACCAATATTGGTTGTAAGAGCAATTTTAAGTCCTTGATTTGAACTGAGATACTGTTTGACAAAACTCCACCAAAATTATTAAAATAAATTTTAGATCCTAAAGATGAGGGTTGAGTTGGGCATTGAATTTGACTGGTCATCCCAATGTATGGATACAAATCAAATTCTAAAGTCTATGGTCATCCCAATCTATGATTACAAATCCAAAAAAATAATCTTTATGGTTCATATTAAAATAAATTTTTTAAGAAACTAGTAGGTCAATGCACAAAGCTTTCTGTATGTGCAAGTTTGGTGAAGGATCGAATCGTGATATATATTATAATTTGTACGTAGTCTTACTTTGTGTTCCTACAATAAAAAATTTCTACAGTTTGAACTCATGACCAATAGGTCACTGGCGACAACTCTTACTATTGCATCAAGGATCCTCTTGTCCATTGGTATATATTTATAATGCCCTAAAGTTGTTATGTTAGATCTAGAGAAATTTAGAGGGTGTTTAGGCAAACGATAAGTTGATCAAACTGATTTATATAAACATCTTTTGACTTATCTACGTATTTAGTATACATTCGAAATATTTATGAGCCAAAATTGATCGAAGCTATAATTTAATCACTCCTACCTTATGGCTTTTCAATTTATAATTTGCTCAAGATTTTCACATTTGTATCTTAGACTAGGGGGCAAACCAAGCTTCTAAGTTATCGATTCACATGACATAATATTTTTTATCCAAACTATGTGTATATATTAAGAAATTGATTGAATATTTATATGTATTTAATTGTAACCTCATATTTATAATATATATTTATTTAAACAGATTAATATAAAAGCCATAAACTTTAAATTCTAATTCTGCATGAGTCATTGACCACTCATTTCTTCCATGCCAAGCCACCTCTTTTCCATTAGATGCTTCCACATTTTTTCATGGAATTTTGGTATAAGTTCTATATTAACATATTAAATAGATAATAAGAAAATATCATTACTTTATTATCATTATTATTATTTCCTATTTTCACAGATAATGTAATTAGTTTGACTAAGGAAACAACCTGGAAGGTGTTGAATGGGGGTTGGTATTATGGTTTTTTCAGTTGTGACCATTTCATCATGGTCCATATTACATATATATTCTTCATAAAATTGCACGTTTTTTCCTTTAAATAAATTGATCTTACATTTTCTCTATTCAGATGAATTAATTTTTAATTTTATTATTTAACAGTCGAACTTATGCCTAGTGGAACATAAATTCTTTAAAAACTAAAATCATTATATAACTTGTGAAATGTTATATACAAAAATAAAAAATTATATCCAACCAAAAATTAGTATTTATTATGAGAGGTATAAATTAAAGATCGAGAGAAAAAGAAGAAGCAAATAACCATATATTCTTCTTTTTTTCAGTTGGAAAATATTTGTCTTTCCTAGATAAATTGGGCTTGTTTTTTCCAAATGATTTAAATGTACATTTTGTTATATTTTTTTTTCTTAATAGCAATAATTATATTTTGAATAAATAGACTATATTGACTAACTAATTTATATGGAGCATGGGTCCACCTTTAACAATAAAACGACTTTCAGTTCATTAAAATGACTTCCAATTGGAAATTACAGTCAAATTGCTTATTCCATTAAAGCTATATTTTTCTAGCTAATAATTTCTAATGTTGAAATTATTTGAAGAAAAAAATTATTTCACCTTTAAGCGAAGGTGTGTCCTAGTGATCAATAAAATAGAGAAAATTATGAGTTTTTTGGTTCATTTGCTCAAGTCTGATGGGTTGAGTTATATATCTTCGTTATTTATTGGGTTGTGCATAAACTAGACATATACCATCAGAGTTATCTGATATATGGCTCGAGCACCATTAATGTTACCCAATACGTGGCCCAAACACAACTGAAGTTACCTGATACATATATTGATAGGATGAACTATCCAGCACCTATACTATAAACAGAAATTATACGTAAACTAGTCCAAATACCATTGATTTTGAAAAAAAAGAAAAAGAAAAGGTTAACAATTTTTCTTGAGTACTTGGGTATCTTTATACGAAGCAATCTATGCACCTCACAAAGATAGCAGTAAGATTTATACATATCACCCTCTCCACAGGGGCGAAACAAAGTAGGATTGAGGGAGTCATTTGAATCTCATTCGATGGATGATTACATTATTTATACACGATTAAAATTATTTTATATATATCATAAGTAAAGTATGGAGCCAAAATTTGCACGAATTAAGGAAATTCAAAATATGAAATAGCAAACACACGAAGAAGTCGAAAGGGATTAAACATATCTATATTAGATGTTAAACACCCTTCGACTTCTTCATGTGTTTACTTTTTCATAAATTGGACCTCCTTAATACAAATCCTCGCTCCAATACTATCTCTCCCGACTTCACTTATAATATCACACTAAATATCTTATTAATGAAAAATGTTGGTTTGCATTATTTTAATGAGCAATCACATGGGCTACGCGTAAACATGTCTACAATAACTTTGGTTGATTAAACGAAGTTGCTATTTATTTTTAATATTAGTAATAAATAGCACGAGTTAGTTTTCTAGTAGTCAACTAAATTATACTCATATCTTATCTTCATAATTGCTCTAATGACTAATATAATACTATATGTTAGAATAATTTCTTTTGACCGTTACCAAAAAATATATGTTTTGGACCAATTCAATAATAATTCTTGAATAATGTTAGGCATAAGAGACAAACAAAAAAGTAGAAGAAAATTTTGAGGGTTGCACGTATAATGTAGAATTAGTGATTAGTCCATTGCATTTCTGTCATTAATCTCAGATCATAACTATTATTATAATCCTTTGAAAAAAAGGCACGTTGATGGTCACTAAAATGTTTGTTTTTATTTATTTATTCACTACTACCTAATCGACTCAAATCTACGACTAAGCAATGATAAAGAGATTTGATTTGTTAAAGATTTTGTAATGTACTAAGGTCACTAAAATGTTTGTTTTTATTTATTTATTCACTACTACCTAATCGACTCAAATCTACGACTAAGCAATGATAAAGAGATTTGATTTGTTAAAGATTTTGTAATGTACTAATCAAAATTAAAGGATCTTTAGTTTAGACTAATTTCACGCGGTACCTAAGATACCCCGAGAACTAGTTGTTTTCTTCTTCTTTTGATTTTCCATATGGTTTTTAGTACACACATTAAAGTCCGACTAAGCCAATTTCACACCACATAGGACCTCCAAGGAAGAGTTCCTGCCAAAGATTTTTCCATACCCAATGCTCTAAGGGAGAAACAACTCAATCCCACTAGTTGGCACAAAATTCAAAACTCATCCCTTTGTTCTTCTAAACTTCAATATTAAACTATAGTACAATAAAATAGTAAAATCATAATGCGTTTAATCCACACATTACGTGTTGTTTGCGCTCGTCTATGAGATATTCTAGAAAAATAAGTGTGAGCACAAGACATGTACATATCAACTTGTGTAAGTTGCTACTATGACATTAATTGAATTCCATTCAAGGTGCTAACGGCAACATGCCCTACTTAATCAAGCAATAATTTGTCTAACCAAGTCAAAATAGACTTTTAAAACCCACTAGGATCAAATAAAAATCTCAACATGGCATAAGATACCTAATGAAAAAGGTACTTTTAATAACATAAAATAGGCAAGCACTTGATACTAGGAACAAATAAAGCTCCATATTAGTCATGTTTCTAATGTCACAAGTGCCAAACAAAAGCAAACTAAACAAAATTTGCATGATAAATGGTTTAAACCAATATATATCCTGATTCAAACACCAAAATTTCTGCGAAATTAGATCCTAGCCTACACTTTGATAGCATACTTTCTCAAAGGGAAGTACATCTCCTTCTTCTTCTCCCTCTCCGTCTTCAAAGACGCCTGTGAGGATATAAAGAGTTTAAGTTAATGTCATTAATTATGTTGTTTTACACTAGTAGTTAGGTATCAATGACATTGCTAGAAAAGAGAAAACAGAAGATGCAGGAGATATTGAAGAAAACTGTGGCAGCATAGCATCACAAACACCCCTCATCCACATTCATTGTTTAAAAAGAGAAAGCCCTCTGTTGTAACAAGTTGTTAGGATCCGGATACAATATCTATTTAAAACTATTTGAAAAAATGTTGCAAACATAGCTCTCCTCTGTTTCAATTTACGTGGCACTGTTTGACTTGGCATAAAGTTAAAGAAAGAATGGAAGACTTTTGAAAGTTGTGGTTTAAAACAAACCCTAGCATTTTGTGTGGTTATATATCATTAAGGAGAATTCTAAAGATAAATTGTGTCTAATTATCGAAAGGAGACATTCAGTCTAAAAGGGTAAGTGTGTCCCATAAAATCAGGACGGAAGGAGTAGCCAAAAATAAATAAATACTATACTCACTAAATAGCAATAGTTTCATTCTTAATGGGATAGAGGAAGCCGTGTATATAACAAAGAGTAACATATGCATTGCAAAATTAAGACCCCAGAAGCTCAATAGCTCTAAGTGCATAAACACTAGTTGAAGGCTAAAATCAAGGATTACCTGGTGCTTGGTCAAACGTTTGCGGATGGCCCTAGTTTTCTTTGGGCGCAGGTCAAGAGGCAGGTATTTCTTGTTCTTGTAAACTTCCCTAAGAGCAGCCTTTTGCTTCTGTGAAATTACAGTCAGAACCTGGGCAATAGACAACCTTACCACCTTGCTGCATCCACACAATCATTAAGATAATCAGGGTCGATATCAAAAGTATAAACAAAGCCATACAACACTCAAATTGATAATAGCCATAACATATGCATTAGTTGATTCATTCTATTGTTTAGTCACCAAACTAAGAAAAGACACCACCAACTACGTTTTTATTGCAAAGACACCACCAACAAAGTTTTTCTTGCATGCTATGAGTATAAACACCAATACTCCATTTCAAAAGATCACCAATACCAAGTCTCCGTACGATGTTAGAATAATAAGCTTCACTAATAACAAGCCATTAATAGCATACAAACTGCTTCACTCTCATATTACAAGGTTTCTAGCAATGCTCCCAATCACTCACTTGAAGTGAGCTTGACTGGTTATATATGTCAAGTGGGAAAAAAGACAACACTTGAAAAGTAATTCGCAATTAATGGATCGAACTATACAGAACAATATTGTTAATCATACCGAGTGTCATTCGGGGTGCAATATAAGATAAGTAATGTACATGTAGCTCATTTCAACTGTATGCTTTCGCAATCACACTAATCACTTGCAATATACTAATCTCAAGCGAAATTATACTAAATCCAAACAAATATTAAATTAACTCAAACAAAGACAGAATGCATACATTTTGGAGAGCTTGTTAGGAGCACCACCAGTGACCTTGGCAACACGAAGAAGAGCAAGCTCTGCCTTCAAATCCTTCAACTGAGTCAGTAGATCAGGCTTCGACTTGTTCCTCAGCTCATGAACCTTGATTCTGGCTGCATTTTAACCAAAAACACAAAATTAACCACCAAAACTACATCAGATTTACGAATCAATATCAATCAACTCCTCCTCACTTCCAAATTAATCACAATTTCAACTACATGAAACCTCTGTATGAACTCCCCTCCGTTTACGTTCAAATTCATCATAAATCACAAAATTGTAACAAATCAATCAATCAAACAAACTATACCTAAACTGAAAATCACTACGATAGACTATTTTTAACCGTATAAATCACAAATATTGAAGAAAAACTATAAAATTGATTCAGAATTAGCGATTTTACAGTGATTTGAGTATACGTACCCATTGTTGATGTTGGTGGAGATAGCTACAGAGGCGGCGGCGGCGGCTCGTGAGTGTTGATTCTGAAACCCTAAATGGAATATGGACGGAATTAGGGGTATATTATAGGGTTATATACTGGGCTTTGTCTTAAGTTCTCTTTTGGGCTGGACTTGCCTAGTAATTAGTTGGCCCATATAGTTAAATTATGGGTTAGCCCGTATTGATCGATTGTTCTGATCAAAGAATTAAGAGCAACTTTCACATATAGCAAACATAAAAATAAAAATTGTATGTTATAGCTATAGTTTGTATAATTGCGCTCCATAGCAAACTTTATGTTTGATATGGAGCATCAGATTGTATAACTCGCTGACTCCTCTTCAAATTTGTATAATTTCGCTGGCAGCCGTTTGTATAAATCGTTGTCCTCTCATTTGTATAAATCGCTAGCAGTCTCTCAATTCAATTTTATGTGTTTGTATAGCTGCATAAAATTTGAATTTGTATACAATTGAATCGAAATAAAACGTTTGTATATCAAATCTCTCATTGCAATTTGTATAAATATATGTTCTTTTTGTTGTGCTTTTCAGTTGTATATGTATATATGTGTAATATGTATATAAATAAAAATTTGTATTAGTTGAATTTGTATATGTATTTGAAAATTCATGAAAAAAAATAATTTTTCTTGTATACTCTATTTCTGAATCCCGCCAGTTTTGTAACAACGGCCAAAGAAGCAACCATTTTCTTGTCCTTTCTCTCGGAGAAATTGCTATAGCAAATTATATGAAACAGTAGTTGCGAATTGGAAATAAAGTAAATTATAGTATAACATTTAATTTGAATTAATAGTTTGCTATTATATACAATTTTTCCAAGAATTAACCTAAATGGTCGTTCATACAATTTGTTTTAATAAAAAATAGATGAAAATTATATAAAGTATATGTAATATATGTGTATAATTATATAATTTTAGTGTAACCTAGTTAAGGGGTCCATAGTTGTCGCAATCACTCATTGGCCTTCAACTTGAGTGTTTTTATTCAATGAGCCCAAGTTTACCTTCGTGGATGAGAAATTCAGGACTTGTTGGTAGATTAGCTAGCTCGCGCTCTAATATTTCATTGATCTTTTCTGGCCCTCTCTTTATGAGAATACATGTCTATTTGTTTTTATGTGTATCGGTTAGAAAATAAATAATAAAATCAGTTGGCTATTTGTATAAAGATTTTCATTTAAGCAATAGTTGTAGTATATAGAGTTATGCATGTTTAGCCACTTGGAAATTAACTTTTGACGTTTGAGACTGAAGTTGTAAGACTTTCGATTTAAAGTTTTAGCAATAATTTTTTAATATTTTTACTTGAATTTATAGGATTATTAACTAGAAAAATATTGAATGCCTGAATTTTAATCATACAAATATTCAATGTGATTGTTTGAAGGTGATTTTATCAAATTCTAATTATAGTACCAATTTAAAAGCTCATAAATGAAATTTGTTGTATTAGTTTTCTAAAATTGTAACTCAATATTCAACTAGTAAACAAGTAGATAACCAAAATTATTATACCACTACATATCTTGTTTACTATACACTTCTTAAACCTTAACCATGGTTAATTATTTTTCACTTTGATTTATCAATTCATTAATCTTAAAATTAAATGTATAAATACAAATAAAGTATATACTAATATGGTCCACCCTATGTGAGAATTTTTTTGGGAAAATTTACTCTTATGGCATCCTACCCACGCCACCCTACCTACTCGTCAATCACAAGAATCTTCCTTGTAACCTTCACCCTCTCTTTCTAGAATGTATCCACTCCGTTTAAATTTATTTATCTGATTTTAATTTAATACAAAAAATTTTGAATCTTATAGTTATAAACTAAAGATATGTTAAATATGTCAAAGTGTCTTGAGTAGTGTTTATCGGAAACAATCTTTCTACTTCTAAGGTAATAATAAGGTATGTCTACATTCTATCATCTTCAAACCCTACGTTATTGGAATACATTGAGTTTATTGTTGTTGTTGTTGTTGTTGTCAAATATATCGAAATGCAAACATACCATGTGTAATACTTCTTTCGTTCCTATTTATATGTCACTATTTTATATTTCACGCATCTTAAGAAATTAGGTAAGTTTACCATTATACCTTTATTTATGGTTAGTGGTCTCTTGAATAACATAAATTAATTTATTTTGATTAATTTAAATGACCAATAAAGATGAATTACCATTTAGTTTTTTCTATGTCAGTCAAATTTATACTTTCAAGATTAATAACTCTCAAGGGTAAATAAGAAGAAGAACGAAAAATTAAGGAACATATTCAAGATCAATAACTATTTATGTATAGATTTTGTTAAATCACAGATATTAAGGAACATCTATTTTTGATAAGAATGAAGATAAATAGAAACGAAGAGAGTATAATAGTACTCCCTCTGTCCCAATTTATATGACTTACTTTCCTTTTTAGTCAGTCCCAAAAAGAATGACACATTTCTATTTTAAGTAACAATTTGCCTATAAAATGTCTTTTTTACCCTTAATGAAATGATTTACAACCACACAAATTTCTATCATTCATTTTGGACCACAAGTTTTAAAAGTCTTTCCATTTTTCTTAAAGTTTGTGCCAAATCAAAGTACATCATATAAAATGGGACGGAGGGAGTAATATTTTAGCGGACTAAAAAGGAAAGTATGACGAAAAAATTGAAACGGAGAGAGTAGCAAAGAAACAGAAACGTGGATCAAGTCGTCGTCGTTTTAATACTTTTCAAAGTCAAAAGCAGGCAGTCTTGAATAAACTAAATCCCTAAAAACGAGTAAACATACAGCTAATCGTCTCCATATATTCCGATTTCCGATCAAAATTCCTTAATTACAGCGATAACCCATTTCTCAAATTCATCACTTTCTTCAGATTCTCCAAAAATTTCTCAAAAATTCATCAAAAAATCATCTGGGTTCAACTGATTTTGTGTTTTAGTTGATTTTGAGTTGAAAACAAAAAAAGATGAACCCTTCATCTTCAACTACTGGGGGTGCTGGATCTGATGATAACACTTCAATTAGAAGAAATTCAAACCGACCCAAGTATTCAAGATTCACTCAACAGGAACTTCCAGCTTGCAAACCGATTCTAACTCCAAAATGGGTGATTTCTGTATTTTTACTTGTTGGTATTGTGTTTATCCCAATTGGGGTTGTTTCACTTTTAGCATCTAGAGATGTTGTTGAAATTGTTGATCGTTATGATTCTGTATGTGTGCCACTGAATTCGACAGATGATAAAATTGGGTTTATAACTAATTCTAGCATAGATAAAACATGTGTTAGGACTTTGACTGTGCCTAAGAGAATGAAGCAGCCTATTTATGTTTATTATCAGCTTGAGAATTATTATCAGAATCATCGTAGGTATGTTAAAAGTCGAAGCGATCAGCAGTTGAAAAGTGCTAGTAAAAGGGATGATACTGGTTCTTGTGACCCGGAAGATCGTGTTAATGGTCAACCAATTGTGCCTTGTGGGTTGATTGCTTGGAGTTTGTTTAATGATACTTACAATTTTACTGTTAATAATAATCAGCTGTTGAATGTGAACAAAAATGGTATAGCTTGGAAGAGTGATAGGGATCATAAGTTTGGAAAAGATGTTTTTCCATTAAACTTTCAGACTGGGCCGCTAATTGGGGGTGGGCAGCTTAAGAATGAATCGTTGGACAAGCAAGAAGATCTAATTGTTTGGATGAGAACTGCTGCACTTCCGACGTTTAGGAAGTTGTATGGGAAGATAGAGGTGGATCTGGAGGCGGGTGATACAATAAACGTGACGTTACTGAACAATTACAATACTTATAGTTTCGATGGAAAGAAGAAGCTTGTGCTTTCTACAACTAGCTGGATTGGTGGAAAGAATGATTTTCTTGGTATTGCTTATCTTACTGTAGGTGGATTGTGTTTCTTTTTGGCTATGGCTTTCACTGTCGTATATCTAGTTAAGCCAAGGCAGCTTGGAGATCCAACATATTTGTCATGGAACCGGAACCCAGGAGGTAACTAGCATGCACGTGAAGTCTGTTGGCTCGAGCGTTTTACCATCTAAGGTTGATGTTGACAAAGCTTGTGTCTTGTAGCAGCTATCTGTCTACAGGTTCTTTTTTTTGAAATGTTCTGCATATACTTTTAAACTCATTTGCTAGGAAACAATGATATGTAATGAAGTATTTTCCCTTTGATAAGTGTTTATTCAAAATTATGTATGTACAATCGAAGTAATTGCTTAAAAGACTTGAATGATGCCAGTAGATTATAAATGTGATATTGCAAAGCATTTATGATATGTATAGTTTCGATGGAAAGAAGAACCTTGTGCTTTCTACAACTAGCTGGATTGGTGGAAAGAATGATTTTCTTGGTATTGCTTATCTTACTGTAGGTGGATTGTGTTTCTTTTTGGCTATGGCTTTCACTGTCGTATATCTAGTTAAGCCAAGGCAGCTTGGAGATCCAACATATTTGTCATGGAACCGGAACCCAGGAGGTAACTAGCATGCACGTGAAGTCTGTTGGCTCGAGCGTTTTACCATCTAAGGTTGATGTTGACAAAGCTTGTGTCTTGTAGCAGCTATCTGTCTACAGGTTCTTTTTTTTGAAATGTTCTGCATATACTTTTAAACTCATTTGCTAGGAAACAATGATATGTAATGAAGTATTTTCCCTTTGATAAGTGTTTATTCAAAATTATGTATGTACAATCGAAGTAATTGCTTAAAAGACTTGAATGATGCCAGTAGATTATAAATGTGATATTGCAAAGCATTTATGATATGTATAGTTTCGATGGAAAGAAGAACCTTGTGCTTTCTACAACTAGCTGGATTGGTGGAAAGAACGATTTTCTTTGGTATTGCTTATCTAAAAGTTGGTAATTGTGTTTCTTTCTTGCTATGGCTTTCATAATTGTGTATCTAGTTAAGCCAACTTATTTGTCGTGGAACCGGAAACAGGTTGTAACAAGCATGCCCATGAAGTCTGTTTGCTTGAGCATTCTACCATCTAGTTTGGTGAGACACGAGTCTTGTGTCTTCTAGTAACTGTTTGTGTACAAGTTCTTTATGAAATGTTCTGCATATAACTTTAGACTCATTTGCTAGGAAATAATGATATGTAATGAAGTACTTATCCTTTGATAAGTGTCGTCATTCTCGTCTTACGTACTGTGGTGCAAGTAGATTATAAACCTGACCTTATAGTTTTGATGGCAAGAAGAAGCTTGTGCTTTCTACAACTAGTTGGATTGGTCTTATCTTACTGCTGGTGGATTGTGTTTCTTTCTGGCAATGGTTTTCATGATTGTGTATCTAGTTTAAGCCAAGGTAACTTGGAGATCCAACTTACTTGTCGTGGAATCGGAATCCAGGAGGCAACTAACATGCCGATTATGTCTGTTTGGCTTGAGCCTTCCACCATCTAGGTTGGTGAGGGATAAAGCTTGCATCTTGTAGTAGCTATCTGTGTACAAGTTAGTGAAATGTTCTGCATATAGTATTAGATTCACTTGCTAGGAAACAGTGATATGCAATGATGTATTTACTCTCTGCGGAAGTAATTGCTCGATGGAGCTGTTCATTTCTTGTCTTACGCACTATGGTGTGAGTGGATTATCTATACGTTACCATCGAGGGGTATGGTGAGATGATTGGGATCCCGCGACCCCTAATTAGAGGTAACTAACATGCCTACAAGGTCTGTTTGCTTTGAGCATTCTACCATCTAGTTTGGTGAGAGTCAAAGCTCGTGTCTTCTAGTAACTGTTTGTGTAGAAGTTCTTCATGAAATGTTCTGCATATAGCTTTAGATTTTTTTTTCTAGCAAAAAATGATATGAAGTACTTATTCCTTTGACATGCTATAGCGATATAAAATTATGATTTGAAATTAGATTGATATGAATTTGAAGTTTTGTTTGTACCTTCAATTTAAATTTTTTCATCGTATTAATATGAGAAGGATTGCCACTTATGATGTTTTTTTGTATATTTTTTAAATATCTAAATATTAGATTTTAAATATTGAATCAATCTAGTTCAGTTTAGCTTCGAAAATTAGTCAAATTGATGCTCGTACTAAAATAAAATGTGACAAGTAAAAATGAACGAATAAAGTATTTTCTAAGTGATACTTACCCACATTTCACTTATAAATATCTTTTGTAAAAAATATAACCAAAAATAACTACATCTTTAACTTCAACTCCATAAATTTTATAAAGTGAAAAATATTTGAAATTTATGATCAAACAATTACTTAATTTTAAGAACCTAAAGATTTCATGTACCAATTTTAAGGTTAAAATTTAAAAGTTTGATTTTTTATTTCAAACTATGACATGTAAATTAAAATACAAAGAGTATTAATTAAAGTAGACTATGTGCTTGCTTAATTTATCTTTTAATTAATCATATTCCGCTCATTCATTTCTATTTATCACATTTCGTTTTTCGAGAGTTATATTATATCAACTTCGCCCAATATATTAAGATGAATTTTTTTCATCATATTAATATTATACTAAGTGTGAGGACAGAAATAGATGCCAACCAAGGAGAGTGACAAAACAAATAAGAATCGAGTTTATTTTAACCAATTGTTAGTTATATTTGAATTACATTTTTTGAAATCAATGAGACCTTTTATATATGAATATAGAAAGTTCCATGTTCTAAATTATAAAGTTTCATTGAGGTGACTATGTATTATCTGCAACAAGCTAACACTATCCTTCAAAACAGTTTTGTAGCTAATGGCGGTAACAATCAATAGTAGAGCCAGTATTTTCACTAAGAGGTGTCAACTGTCAACACATAAAAGGTAAACACACCAAGAAAAACAAGGGGATTCAACTTATTTACTATATCTGGTTCTCTGCATTACAAAAACAAACTATTAGTGTACATATTTAGTTATATAAACAACGCAAAATCCTTCAAGTGATGCTAGCAAAACGCCACAAGAACCAAAATAAAGGATCCTCTATACTACAAGTTGACAATGAAAACACTCCAACTTACAAAATGATCATCTAGACACCTACAAAATATATCTCCACGTTCGGGACAAAACACTCATTCTTGCAGCATCCTCAATAGATATGTGATTCTGAATCTTGTGTATGTTATCTGTCATCGCCATTCTGCCTTCTGATCATTTGCAAAAAAATAAAAGAAAAGAGGGAACTTAAACACAAGTTGAAAACATACTTTGAGATGTTGAATGTTTGTCAAAGCAAATCTTAGACCAACAACAACATACTCAGTGTAGTCCTGCAAAATGGGGTCTGGGAAGGGTAGAGTGTACGCAGACTTTACCCCTACATTCGGAGGTAGAGAGACTGTTTCTGATAGACCCTCGGAATAACTGTTACACCTATCCTCAATTTACCTTAGGTTGGACTAGAACAGTTTGTTTTGAATTTTTTTGTTAAATTAGTCACCTTTTTCACATACATCAAGGGGTATACATTAATAACCAAGATATAAAGCAGCCTTACACACATTCTTATTTTAAAAAAATTAGTTTTCCACCCAGTGTTCGCTATCTACTTTGGGACTCGACTAATCTGGATTTGCGCCGAAAAGTCCTACGCAAAACCTCTCCCTGCCAAAGGCGACTCCATATTTATGACTCAAGTTATAACCACGAGATTCGAAATATAAACAAGTAAACATAAAAAGAGGCTAGGAGGATTCAATATCTGCTATATATACATATAAAATAATTTAAACCTTGTTTATGCAAGTATGGTGTAATTTTTCAACGAAGAGGATTCGAGCTCCATCCATGTAATCACAATCTCAATCCATTAGAAACCCATAATTAACTTGTAAAATATGAATTATCAAAATTTTCATTTTAATCCCACAAGCAGAGTCTGAACCGATAATGTGTACACATACTTTAATAGATATATTCTCAACAATTAAACCAAGAGACCAACAACAATATACCTCGTATAATATCACAAGTGGAGTTTGGACATAAACCTTAATAGAGAGGTTGTTTTTGATAGATTCTCGACAATTTATCCCAAGAGACCAAAGAATAGAAAAAGGAAAAAAAATAGAATTTGATGTTGGATTTTTAGAATTTTGTTTGATGAGAGGAACAAAGGTTTTATTTTTATAATTATGAGAACCAACGACCACTTCCCTATTTTAATTAGAATTTGGATTTGTTTTCTCCTGATCACATGTGTGGGAGTGTTTTTATATATTTGAAAAATTAACTTAAATAGTCGTTCGACGTATTTATAATAAGGGTATAGTTAAGGTATAATGTTATTTATATTAGCTAGCGATGGTAAATATTTTTAGTCAATGGTAAAACACATAAAATTTGATGTCGAATGTGAATATTTGAGGATTTTTGAGAATTATTTGATGAGTAACAAAGTTTTTTATGGATATAAGAACCAACAACCAGTTATTAGTATTTTGATTGGGAACCAACAAATAATTTTAAAAAAATTGAAAAAATCGCTGCCCTTTTAATTTCATTTATTTTTTTGATAAAATTGCAGTTGGGGAAGCAATTTTAATTGTATTTTTTTTAACGGAGTCAACTGAGTTAATTATGTGCAAAGGATATCGCTTTCTCAGGAGCAACTTGGCCCTTTTGGATTTAAAAAAAGAAAGATATGCCGTTTATGTTTTTTGAAGAAAAAAAGTTGTCCTTTGACTACGGACTCCAACATATTTAGGGGCATTTTACACTATTATTTTTGATCACTATGCTTTCTCCATCGTTTTCTTCTTCTTTTACCTAAGTTTGATACACTTGAGCTGAGGATCTTTCGGAAACAACCTTTCTATCTTCACAAGGTAGTGATAAGGTCTGAATACACTCTACTCTCCTCATACCCCACTTGTGGGATTTCACTTAGTATGTTGTTGTTATTGTTGAAAGTAAAATTGCTCGTTAAAATATTGACTTAGAGCAAATAAAGAGTCCGGCCTTGAAATATCGCTTTTTGTGGGCCAAGATGACTGTTAGTTGGATTTAGGACTTTCTTCATTATCTACAAGGAATTTCTACCTCTGAGACCTATTAAGATCACAAAATCAAAGGGCATTTTAGTATATTCTACATATTTTTAGTTTAAAATCACGAGATTTGAAAATCAGTCAAAATCAAACAAATAAATTAAAACGAGAAGTATTTTTTTTTCCTTTATACTTTCTTGATAGGAAATAATGGTCCTTAGGACCTTAGAAGTCAACTAACATAACAATGTTAACTACTTCATTAATACATTAACTACTCCACTTCAAAAGTTAAAGTATTATTGGAGATTTCCCCTTTTTTCACTTAGTTCTCAAAGAACCTATTGAAATATCTTCTACAAACAATCAAGATGCTAAAGTCTCCTTCCAAACTAGTCATTTCTTGGTTCTTGTTCTTCTTGACATTGAGCAATCAATCATTTTCAGCTAGAACTCTGAATAACAATCCTTCCTCGACGAACAATCATCATCATGAACGCCATGAAACGTCCTTTTACATGCTAGATGTTCTTAGTCTAAAACACCCTTCATCAAGACCTGCATCAACAAGAGTAAATAGTCATCATCAAATTCCCTTCTCGAAACCATTAGGCTATTTCCCTCCAGTAGGAGGCATTCCCTTGACCGACACAAACCCAAATGTTGGAATGAACGGATTGCATACTCACACGCTTGATTTGGAAGGGATCAGCATGACATTCCCAGCTATAGCCACACTTCAAGAATTAGAACTAGGGACAGTGATAACAATCGATGAGGACATATACAAAGGTTCCATTTACGGTTCATCTTTGAAGGGAAAAGCTCAAGGAATGTATGTAGCAAGTTCAGAAGACGGTAGCAGTCATATGATGGCGATGACTACTACTTTTCTTGGTAATGAGTATGAAGATAGTCTAAGGTTTTTCGGGGTGCATAGGGGCGATGTTTTTGAATCACATATAGCAGTAATAGGAGGTACCGGAAAGTATCATGATGCAAATGGCTATGCTACTGTCAAGATTGTCAATGTAACATCTAACAAAAATGAAGAAGCATATAAGATTCTTTCATTCAATGTTTATCTTGGTTAAAGTTAGTAACTTGCTAGAGTAATCATTGAGCTGTAATTCACAATTTCTTTCTCTATTGTAATTCTTGATTGTTCAAGATTTTTATATTTGTTTTAAGGGTGAAGATTTTGTGTGGAACTTTTGGTTTCTGTCAATACAAAGGGAGATGCTACATAACATAAACTACAATTAGTGTCACCATGAACTTTTTCTAAGTGTGTTTCATCAGAAAAATGCACAGATCTTAAACAGTAGCAAAGTTATATTGAAACTCACATAAAAAAATTCTGACTACAAACATTTTACTAGACAAGCAAATCAAATTGTAGTCATGCATAGGCAAAACTGCTTTCTCCGCGCAGATTCAAAGGAAAGTGTAGGGGCAGACATAGTATTGCTAAATCGGCTGACTAAATTCGTAAAGTTAACAGTTAACAGACCAATTAAGGAGCACGGAATAAGCTGCAAAGGCCTGAAAGAAGAAATACAAACAATGCTGGAGGACGAATAGATAATACATATATGAGGATTCTTGAAGATGTGCTATTTATGAGAAAACAACTTAATTTCCTTCAAATTTTAAACTAAATATCGGGTTTAGGAAACTTAAGGAGAATTCTGAGGTTTAGGAACTCATTTCTTTCAGAATTGTGTGAAATTCACAGAGAATTTTTCTGCCTTCAACAAGATTTACTGATAAATTTTAATATTTTATCATCTATGAAGGAAACTTAAGTTGCATTCTGCCGCTAGCAATTATGAATTTTTCTTAAGCTCGGAAAAACAGGAAGATAGAGACATGGCAACTCTGCCTGTAGATGTTGAAAAGATGAAAGCTTCTGTGAAGTCCATAGTATATCTGCACATGAACATCTGTCCTAAGTTAACTGGTACATGTAGTTGGTGGGAGGTGGCAGGTATCCCGTGGAATTAGTCGAAGTCTACGAAAGCTGGCCCGGACACCGCGGTTATTAAATAAAGAGATAACTGTCTAGTTAATCAGAAAAAAATAAATTCAGAGTTGGTTCAACCAAACCTGATGTCCAAGTGGATTTGGTGTTCTGCAACAAAACAAGAAAAAACAGGCATATTTATCACTACTTACCAAAACCACCTTATCAGCTCCACTTTTTATTAGGATGTAATAAAGCTATATATAACCATTGAGGCTCCAGTCTTTCCTCATCAATTAACCATCTACTCAACTTCATTTGCCTTCTATATCTCACTCTAGCACCGTTTTCAAGAAAAGATGGCGACAGTTTCCCAACTCACCTCGAAAACACTCCAAGCCACGTTGTGCATTTTTCTGCTAGTCCTCACCTTTGACTGTGCCAGTTCAGCAAGAATCCTTGATGAAGTGAGCCAAGTGGCAGATGCGTCATCAGAAATAGATGAGCCTGTTGTGGCTCCTGTGGTTGCCCCAGCTACCACATTGCCGAGTAACCAATTACCAGCTACTGTCACCGCTCCTGATTCTGATGTGGCACCAGTAGCTGATCCTTCCATCCCTGCAGACACAGTGGCTCCTCCAGCAGATTTACCAGCTGACCCTGAACCAGATTCAGTCCCTGTCATCGCCCCTGCTGCATCAGCGACTCCTCCTGCTGACTTAACAGATAATGGAGCAGCCCCTGTCGCTGATGCAGCACCAGTAACTACCCCTGTCACCAAAACACCAGGAGAGGACACTGCAGCCCCAGGTGGGACCACATCAGCTGCTACCTCAGGCGCCAAAGTAGAAAGTCCCATCCTTGAGCACCCCACGTTCTCCTTTTTCATGCATGACATCCTTGGTGGTTCGCTTCCTTCAGGAAGAGTGGTCACTGGAATTGTAGCCACTTCCGATGCCAACAATCTGCCTTTCTCCAAGCTCAACAATCAAATCTTCCCAATCAATGGAGGAGTTTCTTTGAACAACATTAACAACATCGTCAATAACAACAATTATCCATTCCTTGCAGGCCTTAACGGTCAGCAACAAGCTAACACTGTCCTGCAAAACAGTGGAAACAACGATGTAGTTAGTGGTGATAACAACCAACCTTTTGTAACAGCCGGACAGCTTCCTTCTGGATTATCGCTTCAGCAGCTCATGTTTGGCTCTATTACTGTCGTTGACAATGAATTAACAGAGGGGCATGAGCTGGGATCAGCTGTTCTTGGGAGGGCACAAGGATTTTACCTGACAAGCTCTTCAGATGGCACCAGCCACACTTTAGCCTTGACAACACTTTTCCACGGAGAACATAATCACGAAGTTGATGATACTATTAGTTTCTTCGGAATTCACAGGACAGCCACACCAATTTCTCACATTGCCATCATAGGAGGGACTGGCAAGTATGAGAATGCTAAAGGATTTGCCACCATTGAAACTCTTCCTCACGTGGACCAACATACAACTGATGGACTGGAGACAATTACCCACTTTACTGTCTACATCACCCCTTAAACAGCATGCCCCCTAGATATTAATTCAACATGTTTGCTATATTTCTGAATCTTTATATTTCGTACTTTGAAGCATGTAATTGAATGGTTAAATGTACTGGTGATATTATGATCTATATCAGACCTATTTTACTAAGTACAAAAAGGTGTATCCAACTTGGGAGTTTCATTTTTCCATCACACATCATGAAACACTAAAGTGTATATGAAAAGATATCTAATTAAATGAAAGACCTACCAAAATCTTCTACCTGGAAACTTTTTCCACCAATACAGCTGTAGAAGGAAAAACAGGCACAAGGGAAAAGTAGTTTGTAGCATTATTTAAAGAAAGATGCCCTTAATAGTAAATTGAAAGCAAGAATTAATAGCACAAACACCTGCTCAACGATAACTCCTTTTCAACTTCTGGCGCTCTTCCTTCAAAAATAGATCAATAGTATTGATATTTAGTTCTTTACACCAAATCTTTTGACATCTATCTTCATGCACAAGCATGGTGATATTCTATAGAAAAAATAATCCTTCAAGAATTGCACACCATGTTTGAATGAATATAAGAATAAATAGTGCCACATCTTTCAGATTTTCTACACAACATCCTATACTTTCAGATCGAAATTGCTGTTGAAAAAAAACTATATCTATTCCCAGTAACTTGAGGAGGGAAGTAGTAGGAAAACTTAGCGGTCAAAATCCCATTTTATACGCTCTCAATGCAAAGCTAATTCTGCAACTAGCTCATCCAACAAATATTTCTCTATTTCTCTGCATATGCTACCAATTTCCTCCTCGACCTGCAACCATTTGGTCTCATTTCCAATTGCCTTCCCAGACAAGTCCTTGCGTATTTCATTTTCATGACTAACCAGCATCCTCCACAACTCTTCTTCAATATCAGTTCTCCTCATAGTAGAACAGCACCTTCTTTTTAAAGATTTTTCTATTATGTAGATCTCCAGAAATGAATGCAAAATTTCACTTAGCCCTGAATTTATGTGGTCAAACAGAAGTTTCCTCTCTGATTGTAGCCAAGATATTTGTTTCCCGTATTTCTTCTCTAACAAGTCAAACACTGAGGGATTCACGGGACATTCCAAAGAATGCCATGTCTCAAAACACATTCCTAGGTTCATGCCGTGCAAGCTGGCTTCATCTAAAACATCAACCAGATAGGAGAAGTCCCTGCCATCTGCGGTTTTGAAGTCTTTCAATATGTTTTCACTATCTTGAAGGAGATCCAGAGACCCTGTCTCGGAGTCTCCATCAGTTGAGACACCCATTTCAGATCCTTCTGAATATGTTTCCTCAGAGTTGGTCTCAAGAAGCTGAAGTTGCCGTGCTACACCTTACAAGTTCAGAAGAACAAAAATGAGATTGGATGAAATCTGTTGAGAAATAGTTAACAAAGCTTTGTGTTTACTTACTACATAAGCCGTGGAATGCAGAGGTACAGGGTTTCTCTTCCTGGAACGGTGGCTCCAGAACTGAATTTGGACTGCGCTGATCGGTTTCCTTCAAGTTCAAGTCTCTATATTCCATATTATCTTTCTGTTTTTGGTTCATAGACTTGGAATGTTTCTCAGTAACAGCTACTTTCTGCCTCAGATGCCAGCCATATAGAGAAGCTTTATGGCCAATCATACCTTCAGGACTTCCAGAGGCTATCATAGAACCAGCAGAATGATTTGGAATTAACGAATCCTTGCTGCATGAGCCTGAGATCTGAGTGTTCACACTGAATGAACTGCAAAAACTTTGTGAGTCACGCTTGGAGTCCAAAAATTGAGGCTTAGTTTCTAAGTCATCTGTAGCAAGCATTTCTCCAAGATTTTGGCTTCTAGAAGTTGTTTCAACTTCTGAAAGATCATTCATCAGCTTCCACTTTTCAATGGTTTGCTTCTTAACTTCTTTGGAAAAAGATGACCTCTTTGAAAAGAAATTTAGTGTATTATCTTTTCTTTGTTTACTAAATAATTTTGAAGAAGGCAGCTTTAGAGCCTCGGCCTTCAGAAAAGTGTCACTGATGCTTTCTGCTCTTCCTGGTCTCTTATTATGTACTGCCCCATTTTCATGTTCTGTGAATTTCTTGTACTTCAAATCAACGGGATCGGACTCCAAGCCATGCCTACGAGAAACAGACTGATGTTTGGTTTTATGATACTTTCCAGAACTAGGTTTGACCACAATAACTCTTGTAGACGGATGAGGCATGTTTTCATTTGGATCAAGCTGAAAGTTTATTTTCTTCAAGTGATGAATAGAACAGTCTCCAACATCATCCTTAGGTGTACCAATCTCAAGTGTCTGAAGAGATTTCGAAGTCTTTTCTTTAGCGGTAGTCCTAGCAGACATCTTGCATAGTGTCTTAGCGACAGCTGAGTGAACCGGATGGCAATAGGGTTTATAAGCCTGTAGATCACGCAAATGCTTGGTTGAAAGTAAACTTTCTGAGATGCCTTCGGAGTCCATAAGATTAGAATGTTTCTCCTTTATTAAAGTAACACTCGAATTAGTATATTTCCGCATCTTCAACTTGGCTGCAGATACATCTTTAACTACTTGACACTTCTGAGTATTTATTCCACGGGAGAAGCCAACAGAAAATGAACTCTTCTCTCGCAAACCTATAGAAGCCATTTTCTGGAGATAGTTCTCAGAGAGTACTCTCCTTCTCTTAACAGGGAGGTGCTGCCGAGGTGGAAGCTCATCAAGGCTCATCAGCCTTGCTATAACACTTGGTGTGTGCTGCTTCCTTTCCATCTGTTTCAACAACTCTTTAACCAGTCTGGTTGATTAAACCAGGCACTGTGCAGACATTATGGGAATTTTGTTAGTTTTCCAGATCAACAATTATGTCTACAAGAGCAAAATAGATGCAAATCATGTTTTTTCAAGAAAATAACAGAAAGGAGGAGAAATATTAATGACTTGGTGATAATAGAATATAACAAACAAGGTAGGAGATACAATCCATAACCTGTATTGTATTTAACCAAAGAAGTATCAATTTGATGCTAATCTAACACTTACTCTAACGAACGTTCTAAAGGATTAATTAACTACTAAAATTGTACACACCAACTCTAAAGACATTGTGAGATACTAACACTTCATTCTAGCAGATTTGAACAAATATATACAACTAACTTGAAAGGCATGCCACCATCCCAGAAATAAAACATGTTTGCAGAAACTGAGTAAAGAAGTAATTGTAATTCCAAAACATTCCAAATCACATTGAATGTTGTTAGGAACTTATAACTTTTCTCCGATGCAATAAGATAATGCCTTCGACAACAAAAGCATTTTAAATAAGCAAAGACACATTAATGGTAGTTCTTAGTTCTTGCACACAAATGGCTACATCCCTCCACACAAAACAAACAATACAATGAAAAAATTCAAAGATCAAAGCTCTAGAAACCATATGCCTTTCAGAGTGGTGTTTATAGTGAATCTAGCATGACTTACATTTAATCACCCAAGCAAGCAATATCCATTGACAGCATCTAAAACTTAAACTAGAGAAGTGCAAAACTATCATTCACACCATGTTAGAGACAACACAGACAGCCAAATTCATATCAGTATGATAACTGCCAAGAAAAGATGGAAGGCGTAGTTCATCTAAATCACCCAGATGAGAAAGCTTTTGATGCGGATCTTGAAAGATTTGGAAAAATAGAACATGCTCTGCCCCTTCCTTCGATTGCTAACGAGAAAAGATTAGATGATGTGGAAATACATGTTATTTGCTTCTTTAGCCAAAGAATGAAACATAGTATACCTTCAAATGTCACCACCCACAGGCCAAAAGTGTAAATGTAAGTAGAAACACATAGTCAAATATTTTCTCCCAGAGCTAAAAAGCAGCAGACCATATTTATTAAACATTATCATTATCAATAAAGTATAAACCCCAACACTGAGAAAGTCCAACAGTGAGCCATCATAAAAGACATCAAATTACTATCATTAGCCACAACACAAAAGTCAACTCAAAACCCAACAGAATCATTCCCTATCATCACTCTCAATCAAATAGGCCTGAATTCCAAACTAGTTGAGATCAGTTATACGAATTTTCTGTATATTCAGAAGACTCAACTACGCCTCAATCGAGGGAATCTCAGTAATTCAGTTGGTTGACTACGTGCTTTGATTCGATTCTCCACCTTGTAATCCCCTTCCCCTACCCCAATTCAAAAAAAAACTATGCCTCAATCTTGTGTACATATTTTGTCCTACCACAACTATCTTCCTTTATTTGAACTTGAAAGTAAACTGTGTTTTTCAAACCTCACATAGCTGGAATTCTCACAATTACTATACAACAACAACCTCAAACAAGTTCGAGTCCGCTATATGAATCCCCATTTTTTCATTTAAGCTCATATCATATCATCATCAATCCTAACAATTACTATAACTAACAAAAATCCAATCTAACTCATTTCACACAATAACTTACAGACCCACAACACAACATAGTGACAAAAACCCCCAAAAAAATCAAGAATCATAAAAAATCCAAGAATATCAAAAACCCATAAACTAAAGATTCTACCTTTATTGAAGATGGCTCCCCTCCTTGTAACTAATGATGATAAACCCAACAAAATTGATAATATCAATATAATAACAGCAGCCATCAAAATATTTTTTTAATCCATAATGCTTTTTATAAATTAATCATAATCAAAATTGATTAAAAATTGAAATTTAAGCAAGATAAAAACAACCCCACCTCCAAAAAAACTGGAAAAATCAAGAAGATCAAATCCCAAGAAACAAATATGTAAAAAGAATTGAGCTTTTGGTGGATTTGTGTATGAAAAAATTGTCTGAAAATAATGGAGTGATGAAGAAGAATAGCTGGAAATGATTAATTAATTTTAATTATTAATTAACTACTAAATAAAAAACTGCTATATTATTAAAAGCTTACTATAAATAATATTTTTTTGATTTAGGGTTTTGATTGACGAAAATTGAATGTCAACAGGCCGCCGCCGTTACGGTGGTCGGCAAAAAAAATTGCGCCAAAATTTTGGTTGGTCAAATGTCCAATCATTACAATATGAATATCTTTTTGTTTTTTACTATGTAAAAG